CAGCAGCAGCAGCAGCAGCAGCACTACGATCGCCGTAGAGACGACTGGCACGATCGCGGAGATAACCGGGGGCAGCACCATCAGGTAAATGCGACGTTTCTACGCACACCAATTTGTTTACCACAAGTGGAGGGCAGGGCTAAAACTTCCATCTTCACTTGATTTTGGCTTGTTTTTATTTGGTAAAGTTAAAGTGAGGCTTAAACTGTTTCTGGGCAGATCTGTGAAGCAGATGCAGAAGAAAGAGTCTGATTGGTTGTTGCTCAGTTGCTTCAGATTGAAATCAGGAATCTTTTTGCTCTTTGGGTCTGTTTTTTTTTTTTTTTTTTTTTTTTTAAGGGTTTTTTTGTAAAATATTTAATTATAATTTGTATAACACTTTTAAGTATTTTAATTTTAATTATATATTTTTGAATTTTGAAATACTTCATATTACTGTTGGAGGTGTTTTTGTGCCTGATTCAGTGTTTTGAAAGAAAGTACTGTGTGAACTGTAAAACCCAGAAACACTCAAATATCAGCAGACAAAACATAAAAACTCAATACGAATTTATGAGAAGCTGAAACTTAAAGAATTAAGAAATTATCAAAATGCTTAATTTTATAGAGTGAAATTATTTTTTTCTAGAAATATTAATCATTCGGATTAACTGATCAGAATTTAACCAAATCAGAAATTTCAGAATTTCTGTTTTGGTAACTTTTGATTCTTATCAGACAATAAAAGTTTCTTTCTGAAGCATTTTAAGTGAACACTTAAGCAACTCTTCTCTGATTGGCCAACAGAGTTTGATAGAAATTCTAACCGGAAACTTTAAATAGTTTCAGTAAAGAGTTGTTTTTACAGTATAATAGTTTTATACATGTCAGCACGCTTTTATTCTGAAAGGAAAGCATGGAGACTGCAGAGTTTTCTGGCGTTCTTTTAAAACTAGAGCCAGAGAAAGTTCAGTGTGTAAAATTTGGAAAAGTAAAGAGAATTTTTTTGGCTCAGTTTATCTGTGGGTCTGATGTGTTAAAATATCAGATCACACACATTCCAACAAGTGTGCTTTGTTTTACTGAAAGTTATGGATTTATTTTTGTTATTTTTTTTTAAACAGGAAGACTTTATTTATTTTATTTACTTTATTTATGTGTTAATCTAAATTATTTCCTCAGTTAAAAATTATTTCAGTGAGATTTCATTTGATTTTAGCGTTTAGTAAAACAAGAAAAAATGTGACAGATGTTTACATTCTTAAGCTTGTGGCCAAGACTTGCACTGCTCGTGCTAAATGGGTGGACTAATTAAGAATAAAACCCTCAGTGTCATCTTGTCTTTATATCAATATAACTTTAAAAAAAATCTGACCATCCACCATGTAGACTGTTTTAATACAAACAAAAAACAATTACATTTTTACAGAGAAAATCTTTGTATTAACCAGTTTTTATGTTGTTCTATTATATGCTATACTTTTATTGTGAAGCACTTTGGGATATTTACCAGTGAAAAGTGTTCTGTGAATACATTTTACTTACTTAAATCTTTTAATACTGTTTTAATAGTGTTGTGCTTGTTAAAGTTATTCCTTTGACTTGATGCATATTTATTGTTGTAAAGCTGTAATCTTATTTGAAACCTCTGTCTCTATTTCAGGGCTACAGCTCCGGCAGAGGTTACCCTCTCCCTCCTCCATCCAGAAGATACAACTGGAACTAAACTCTTAATGATGTTGGGATTTTATGGAATGGGGAACTGTTTTTAGGGGAACAATGTCAACATCTAGCTTTTTTTTTTGTCCACATTTCATATTATTGTCTTGTACAAGGATTTTTTTTCCTTTATTGTAATTCTTTGGGGGAAAAAAGTGTGTTATGTAATCTCTGATTTTTATGATGAAGCCTCTTAAACTTGTAAAATACAAGTGAGTGAAGGACAAAGTGTCCCGCTGTGATTATTTTTGAGAGGAACCTCTCCAACTTGGCTCATGTATTTCAAAAGTGAAAATAAATTCTTCTCAGTGATGTTGGTATATTTGTCTGAGCAGAAATCCCTTTTTTCACGAGTTAAAAATAACAAATAAACCCATTTAAATTTAGTTTGAATATTGAAGTCACTTATTTAAAAAAAAAAAAAAAACATAACTGACCTATGGTAGATTTTTGGTGAAAATTTTGGGATATTTAAAGGTGGACATTTGATAGAAATCCGTTCCATGTCCAAGTAAATGTTGTCCTGTTGGTAATTAGAGCTGTATTGATGGAAATGCGTTAGAAAAATAAAAAGGTCCAAAATGAAAATATGATTTATTCAATACTGTAAACAAACGAAAATCAGCTTTAACAAAGGATCTCTGATGACGTGCCTCAGTTCGGTTTTTGTCTTTATGAGCTGCTTCTATTGCTCCACTTTGTTGAACCTGCAATAATTTAATTTGTTCTGGAAATGAAAAAAAAACGTGAGAGGCGCCGGAAGCTGTGCCTCATCCTGAAGCTCCTTAAATTAAAGTTTCTCTGTGTTCAGTCTCAGTCACGTCTGGCAAATACAAAAAAGAGAGAGAGAAAAGACTTAAATGTTTCGTTTAGAAACGGGAAAAGAAAACGCGCCATCATCAAGAGTCAGCGCGAGCCCGAGGCTCGAATTTACAGTTTGAGTTGTGCACTTTTTATTGCTCAAAGCCGCCTTTGAGTCACTGCGTGTGCAGAAGGAGCCGAACCTTTACGCACGGAAGGAAAACAAAAAGATTGGCGCGTGTCCTGCAGAAAAATCCACTCGGAATGATGCCCTCCTCTCGGCATCACTACCAAGTTCTGCCGTACAGTAAGTTGGAGCCGATCATGCTGTTGGTGTACTCAATAAGCGCCGCGTCCGTCTGCGTCATGTTGATCTGCCCGTGCAGTCCCAGCGGCGGGCTGGGGGACAAATCCTCCAGCTCCTCAGCGGAGGACAGCTGGTTCACCTGCGGCTGCTGCGCGCTCTCCGCCATGGCATCCCCCACGCTGCTCTGCCTGTTCCCGCTGTGGTTCGACCCACTCGAGTCGGTCCGGCAGCCCTTAGAGTTCTTGGAGAGGACCGGGGACACAGACGAAGCCCTGCGTGTTGCTCCGCACAAGCCGCCGCCACCGCCTCCTCCGCCGCCTTCCTGCTGGAGCTGTTGCGCGGCCTTGTCCTTGGCCTGCCGCTTCAGCTTATAGCGGTGGTTCTGGAACCAGATCTTCACCTGGTTCGGGGTGAGGTGGATGAGTCCGGCCAGGTGCTCTCTCTCCGGGGCAGACAGGTACTTCTGCTGCTTAAAGCGTCGCTCCAGCTCGTACACCTGCGCCTGCGAGAAGAGCACGCGTCGCTTCCTGCGCGGTGCCGCGTGCAGCGTCACCATAGACTTGGCGGTGGAGTCCATCCCGGCCAGACTGCCCACCATCCCGGGCATATTCATCCCCGCGGAGGGGCCCATGAATCTGGAAACTTTGAGAAATCACAATCAGAGTTTGGCTTTAAAAACAAATAATAATAATAATAATTAACTAAACTAGTTTAGAGAGGAAAAGTGAAAACGGTAGAAAAAATTAAAAATGTTAAATTACCCCAAAGTCTTCTGTAAAAATAGGAAAAGTTTGTTGTTGTTCTTCTTCAATAATGAATCATATTGTAAGATTTTAATCTTTTAAACCAGACCGACAGGTGCGAGAGTCTAATGGGATAAATCAGTGAGTTAACTTTAAAAGATCAAACATGTTGACGTTAATTTAAAGACATTAAAATGCAGTTAATCCGGATTCAATTTGTTTAGGAGCAACAAACAAACGTTTCATAAAACATAAATCTTTTTAAATCCTTCATATCGTTTGGAAGAGGAAGCCGGATTATTGTAACATGTCTAATAATCCTAATAAAGTGACTTAACTCTAACAATCGCTTCAGTCTAACTCAGGCTCGTCTCTCCGGGCCGGGGACGCTCTTACTTGTCGGGTATCGGGGCTCCGGGTTGCTGTACCACGCCGCCGCTGCCGCCCCTCCGCCTCTCACCGTCTCCTGGTAGGACGGCAGGTCTCCGACGTTCCCGATGCCGCCGTTGCAGAACCCTCCGACGGCTCCGGAGAACTGCGGTACCCCGTGGGGCACGTGGTAGGGCCCGCCGGGAGCCAGAGCGGCTGCTGCTGCTGCGCTGGCCGAGCCTGATGAAGAGGAGGAGGAGGATGAAGAAGAGGACGAGGACAGGTGGTGGTGGTGGTGATGATGGTGATGGTGGTGGAGGTGAGGCGGCTGCTGCTGATGGTGCGCCTGCTGCTGATGCTGCATACCGGGCTGCGAGACCTGCGGCTGCCGGTAGGCTCCCAGCGGGGATCCGAGGCTCCCCGCTGCGGGGTCCATCACTCCGAACCTGCGGTAGCTGTCCTCCATCGGGCTCAAGATGTCTGTGACTGAGAAGGGAGTGGAGTGCTTTGGGCTCAAGGACATGGTGCGGCCACCCCGTGCCCTCCTGCTGCGTGCGGCTGGATGTGCTCGGTTCTCTCTGGCGGCTCTCTGCCTGCGTCCCCCTCCCTCCCACCGGCTTCTTGCTTCTTCTGTGTCGCTGGGAAAAAGTCCAGCTGATCGGCAGCAGGAGGAGACCAGTTGCCCTTATCCCGCTGGACCCACATGGAGGGGCGGAGCGACGCGGACACAGCAGCCAACAATGGTAATTGACATTAGAGGTAAGCAGAGAAAATGGTTCAGACCTGCTGCTGCTGCGGATTCTGTTTCCGAGGCTGGATAGAGTCAAAGCCCAAATTCCTCCAAACATCAAAATCATCACCTGATTTACCACGGCACATATTTACCCGGAGAAGAAGAAGAAAAAGAGCGGCCACCTGTCAGAGTTCTCACAGCGGCTTTCCTTCAGATCGCTCTTTATTGGAACTGAATTTGATGTTTTTTTCATTTAAAGTGACCATAAATGTGCCCCATCCCCCACCCCCCACCCCTCAACGTGTGACACCTGCAGCTCTTTCGCGGTTTTCTTCTGTTATTGCGCGCGAGCAACAGTGCGCAGGTCTATTATCTCAGTTTCATCTTCCAGTTACGCGCGAGTGGATCTGAGAGTCTGTGACACTTCCACGCGCGGTTACCGCTTCGTGTTCAAACCACAGCTTTAATCTGACTGCGAGTTTAATCTGCGCGTGTTTTAATCCCGTGTATTTCCCGCTCTCTACATGAATTTTGCGCACGAGCTAATCTGCTCCCTTTGCTCACTCTGCGCGTTACAAAAGTTCACAAAAATAAACCGAGCTAAACTTTTGTTTCTGGATTTTTTTTATGTGTAACTTCTCCTATAAACGAATATTAAGAAGCTATTAAATCAACCAAAATCATAATTATTCAGACTGTATTTATTGTCAAGTGTTTATGATGTAAAAATCTTTGTTTCACTGTCTTTAATCAAATAGTCTTTGCATGTAAATAATTTATCCAATTATTGTTTTATTTGCTCAATTTGCAGGTTTACTTGTTTACCCTTTTTTATGGCATAATACAGCCCAATGAAAGTTTCAAAGAGTTTAAGATTAAATATTTAAGATTAAAAATATCAATGAGAGAAATGAGACTACAGAGAAGCTTTTGCCGCTTTTTGTAATTAGGAAAAACACGAACATGAAATGGAGCTACATGCGTGTGAGCCGAAGAAGAAGAAATGACCCAAATAAAAAAAAGTATATATGTATATATATATATTTACATCCAGATTAATGCTTTGGACGATTTTCAATTCTTTTTCCAGTAGAAGTGAGACTGAAGCTGAAGCTCTGACCTTCATTTTAATTCTACTTTTTCTCGTCAGAGCTGCGAGGATATCCAGACTTCTCTCCTGATCTTAAACCTCTTTAATGTTCTCACTGACCGAAAACAATCCACCTTTAAACGTGCACCTTCAGCCATCCTGTAAACAGTCCGAGGAGCCAATCACCTGCTGACCTGCAGCACCACGTCACGCCACGTCCTCTTTGGAGTTTTCACAGATCGAGGCTTCCCCGTTGCAGGAGGGATCGGGAAACAGCCGGGCCAGGACCGAGGCCGGGATCCGGAGCTTCCTCCGGGCTCAGAACTACTGCTGGCGGTAAGTGAGGTAACCCGGCGGGTGCAGAAGCACCGGAACCACCTGAAACAAGGTTCTACTTTGAGGAGTTGGAGCTCTGCAGTGGCCTGATGGTTTCTACAGATGTTTCCAGCCCCTGTAACGTTTTATAACGACAGACGTTATCGCTATAACTATTATTGATGAGTTATAGTGCTCTAATATGACATCACTACAGTAAAGTTATGTGTTAATGTATTTATGCATTGATACAATTACAGGCACTTAGTGATCTAATGCTCCTTTAATGACTTTAGGGGGGAAAAAACTATCACACCATCTTAATAATAGTTAAAACTTGTCACATACAGACCCTGAGTGCTTTGGCTGGTCACATATAATTAATCTGTTTTAGGTTTTACTCACTTTATTATTTCCTAAAACAGTTTTGGTTTTTTGGTTTTTAATCTTTGGTTGTTTTTTTCATCGCTGAAACTCTGAATATGTCTGAGACCTTTTATGATGCGTTTAAGGTCAACTTGGTACAACCAGATTCTTATGGTCCAGGCTCCTTTCCTGTCCGATATAATCACTGCAGTGTTGTAGTTTTAGTGACTCTGAGCCACTTTAATGATCTTCAAGAGAAAAAAGAGAAAAAAATAAAAGGCTTTAAAATATTACACGCTAATATTTTAAAATGACTTTTTTTGTCTCGCTATTTACTTAATTTTACATGATCTAACATGTATTTCCTGGGATTTCACCAAAGCATTCGGGCCTCTGAGCTCTACTTATTCCACTCATAGTGTATCCCGCCTGATTTTGTGGGCATTGACTTTATGGTCTCTTCAGAGACACTTTCATTACTCCCGCATGGACTTTAATTGTGTCTGTGGCTGTTTATGATGTGTTTAAGCACGTGATACGTGTATGTCTGTTAGATATTTTAAAATCCTCCAATTACTTGTTGTTAGATATATAATCATTGCAGTATGTGCAGACTCTTGGTGAGTCTACTTTAATTACTTTATATGAAAACCTTTTCTTTTAAATACAAAATTAAATTAATAGTAATAGTTTACGCCCTATGAGTCTACATACCCCGTGATGTTGTAGTAAAATTACGAGCCTCTGGTACTCAGGTTTCTCATAATGTGTCCAATTTGGTGTTTCTTGGCTTTAATATTTCCTAAGAGGCTTTGTATAAGTATATTCCCAGAGGGACTTTTAATGTGTCCAAGGATATTTGTGATATGTTTAAGGTGAAAACATTTCATGCAAATTCCCAGAAAGGTCAGCCTCTAACATCGCCATACTCATGTTCTCTAATGTAAGATTTACAATGAGTTGATTTTTAATTCATTATGGCTCAAAAGTGTTTTTAGTCTTTAAACTGAATTCCTTTTATAGTGAGTGTTACAAGTAATTATACTGATGGGGTCATTTCCAAATAATAGGGACCATTATTTACTTGTTTAGTGATTCTATGCTATCTCAGTGACATAGCAAATTTTAAAAGCAGCGTTTCTTTAACTCTTTAGCATAAGATGGGAAGTGTGATATAATTATTATACAACAGGCCTCCGGTGCTCTTTGTATGTACAGTGGATCTATTTTATTGTTTATTGATGTAATCTTCACCCAAAAAAGCCTTTTGAAAATGTTATATGATAATATTCCCACGGGGACTTTGAATGCATCAATATAAAGCATTTAAATGCACTGAGAGGTCATCTAGTGTCACAGTACTCATGTTCTCTGCTCTATTATTTAGATTCCAGCTAATGTAGGTTTATTCCTTTAAATGAAATTCCTACAGGGACTTAAATGATGTATATATTACCAGTGATGCAGATCAGTTTATTACCAATAAAAGGGTCCCCGTGTGGCACTCTAACATTGAAATCCCTGCAGTGCTGTGCAGAGATCTAGTGTATCTTTGCTGCTGTTAAGTGATTTTTATGGTGAGTTAATTAAACTGTAAGGTGTTTGTTACACGTAACTAATTAATTGGGTGTTCACTTCTTTATTCTGCTAAATAATGTTTTAAACAACGATCCTATAATATTTCTTTTGGCTTTTAAAACAGCAATTTATCTGTAATAATCCACATGATTTATTATCTGTGTAGTTAAAACTAAATGTTCATTATTTTCTCACATTCACGCTTGGAATAAAAAAATACCAGACTTTGAAAACAGATGAAATCCTGCATTAAATAAATGTAAGTCTGTGAAGGTAAAATATAAAACGTAAGAAGTAAGTTTGATTTATTATGCACAGCGTTTTGAAAGGACACAGATGAATCTGAGTGGTCGACAGATGATTAATGCTGTAAAAAAAAAGTGCTTCACAAATTTTGCTTCATTTTGTTGTGAAATGTGGGATAATTACAGTCATTTAAATAAAACCACAGTCGAGGTTTTCAGGGGGAAATCTCTCATCGGCGACGACAGGCCCCAGTCAGATGCCTTTTTCAGAACAATGTGTTGGGTTTTACTGTGTAAAAAATGTCACCTATTACCATAAAGTAATGTTTGAAATGTGAGATCCTGCTGAATATTAATGAACATTTTTTAATGTAAAGTAAAAATATCTTTGACAAAAAAAGTAAAAATGTAAAATACAACAAATTCTCCCACACTGTGTTGTATGTATTTCATGTTTTCTTTTGTTTTGTTTTTAGAGAGGATTTCCATGAGGTTTGTGTTCTTTTAGAAGAAGTTTCCCTTTTCTTTCTTTAAACTCCTGCGATGTCATCACAGAGAACCATCTCTGTCTAAGCTCCTGATTTATAATCACTCCACAGTTATGTCACGAATGTGGTTTAATCCTTTATTTTCTGTCGTTTTTAGAGTACAGGGAGGTTTGTGGTTCTCTAAAGGACGTTAACGAGCTTTTTTAAATAAGAGTTTGTTCAAGGTCAGAAAATGTTGAAAAGTAATGAAATTCCATTTTTAACACGCTGAAAGTCAAATACAAAGATTTTGGTTTAGTGAATGAATTCCACAAAAGCGATTGCTTTTTTAGTGTCAGTCTACTAAGTGATTAATCCAGTAATCATTAATGCTTTAGCATCCTGCTTGTTTTATGGATGCGTAATTAGATTATGAAGCTGGCAGGTGCAGTGGGGGGGGGGGCAGCTGGGGCCCCTCAGTGATCTTACTCACAGCACGGATTCATTTATCTCCATTTTAAAAAAGTAACTGTCAGCTACTTCTCCTGTTTTGATTGATCTGCTCTTTTAATTATCGTAATCATCATAAGGAATTATCATAAGGAATCATAAGGAATTTCAGAACTATGTGAATATTTAAAGCATATATTCTCTTATCTCCTGTTTTTACTTTAGTTCTAATATTTGAAATTAAAATGAATACAAACGTACATTATTTTTAACATTCCTGTTTTTGTAAAACGTTAATCTTTTGCTGTGTACCAGGAGTTAAATCATTTTTTAACTGCTTAGCACAGAGATTGTCCTCAGACATTGCATTTAACTTTCTTTTTGTTTCTCAGGTCACTGTAAAATGTCTTTACTTACTTAATTTTAAACGAGTAAATAAGGTTTACGTACCTTAGCCATGCTTTTTGTCTGCATAC